TAACACGTGCAGCATATTACTAACAGCGGATTTAGGTATGAACGGGTGTCCTAAAATCTAAAAATCCCTTAGACAATTATAACACCAATCATGCATCTAATAACTGTACTTTTTATAGACCCTTGATCTTCTTGTCTGTGGCAGCTGCTGGCCATTATAGGTTCCACAAAGCAGTGTACAATGAGATTCGGCTAAACATTAGGTGAAAACGGACTTTTTATTATCTTGTATGTGGTTTCCCATTCCATTTGATAATAGAATGTAAACTAAAAACGCAGTGAAGAACCGTTTCTTAACTTGAGAAATGAAATCCCCACCTGTGTTCACACAAAATTTTACAGTTTCGTTTACAAATTTGTCACAGATATAGGGAAGTGAGTTTCGCTTAACTTGATTATACTGTGGTTCTCCTACTTTCATATAACTATTTTTAGTCTTTCTTCAAGAGAACGAAATAAAGCAAACTCCACACCTGCCCTTTCATTTCCTGGATTTCTGACGTCTTTCTCTTATTTCGGAGGAAAGTTCAACCAATAAAGCGTATTTTAACGAAGACAGCTGCTGTGTGTGTGTTTCAACTTGAATAACATTTCCTGTACATTTCTCACTAATATAGTTGCATGTTTTCTGACACTGAAATGAGCAAAGATTTGTTTGTGCATGTGCCTTTATAACAGATTTTGTCATCCTAATGTGTCACCCATAATTATTTAAAGGGAGAACAACCGAAAGAAAGTGGTCTATTACAAGTTAAACGTGGTTGAAACAGACGAATCTCTCAACGTTACGCTACTCTACCGACAGGTGATATTGTAGGCACGTTAATCACAGGTTTTGGTTTCCTTGTGAATTGATTTTTAACATAAAGAATTTCTAGGCAGTTTATTCTACATGACTGGCTTCACTAACTTGTAAGTTACTTTTTCATTCTGATCTGCAGGGTTAAGTTATTTTTGTCAGGAGTTTATTCATAAGAAAAACAGGTGACGTTATAGAAACTCTCATTATTATGTTATAATGTTAAATGGTGATGATGTATTTCCGGTGGACTGTTAGCTGATGCATATTTTAAACTAAATTAATATAGGTACCAAAAAATCTTGTTTTTAACAGAGATATATGTCGTCATAGGAAACATTAAGTATTCAGCTAATTTACGTAGTAAACTATTTTACGTAGGTATTTTCGCAAGAAACTTTAGTGGCTCACCCTGGCTGAATTGGATAAAGTTTGTTTGTCTGTCTCTCAACATAATTACGCCCATAACTGTGATCGTTATTGTAGGTGTGTGCCTTTTAGTTAAGAAATTTCTGTTTCTGGTTTTCTATTTCTACGTCCTAACTGTACACACACACACACACACACACACACAAATACATATATATATATATATATATAC